GGCATAGCAACTTATCAGAGAACTGCCAAGGGCCCCTGGGCATCCCAGGAGTATAAAGGAGTACTAGTAACAATGGTATCAGCAGTGGCAACGACCTGAATGGGAGCATGTAACATGAGCAAAAGGCACCAAAGAAAAATGTTCCAGCTCCGAAATTAAGTGAAGAGTGTATTGCTGGATAGTGAGTCAATTGACAGAAGACAACTAGAGGTACATGTCAAGAAATGCATGGGGGAAAACAGTGAGCTACATCAGGGTTTCTCAGAAAAGCTCATAAAAGAGGGACTGTAATTGTAATTGGACTGATGAAGAAGGATTAAAACGCGAGAGCTGACAGTTAAATTGCAGCTTCTTAGAAAAGGCTGTTTTATTGAGACACATTGAAGCAGCATGAGATAGTAGGAAAATATCTGTCTAAACTGTGAGATGTGTTGCTGTGCTGGAGAAATCCATAGTCATGAAGCAGGTGAGCCAACATGGTGTGGTTGTTTTGAACATGTATAGAATGTATATATTTGAAATATAGTTGCTGTACTTGAGCTTTGTTGCCATAATTTTACTGTCATGCCATAGTTTTACACTGTAACACTGGATTGCTAAAATTAATGAGAGTTCATTCACAGTGTTCATAGTCTTGAGGTTAGATGAACTTCATATGTTTATAGGCCCAAACTTCCATACTAGATTGTTTGAAGTTGTCACCCCTGTGGACTAATCTGAAAGTGACTGAAGTATCAATGGACTTTCAGGAAGCATTGGCTCATCTGAGCAACATGTCAAGTATGTAAATTGGTGACATTTTTGCAAAATGTCTGGGTACACGCCATGCAATCCCCCAGGATCCTCACTGATTTTGACTGGGACTGTAGTCTGGCAACTTGAAAATCATAGTAGAAGTACTGGAAGGTAGATGCAGAGACCCAGTTTGGGAAGTGTTTGCTTTTTGCTTTTGCAGTAGAGAAAAAGTGATTATGATCCTCCCCACCTAGCACTTGAAGTGGTATGAGTTGCTGTAATTGCAGTGATTCAGAGCTGGGCAGTTCCAGGTGGAAGAGAATAAGCTTACTTAATAGTGGGCAGGCAGGATATGGAAAGTTATGGGTCCTGTGTAGCTGAAGCTTGGCTGTCTTCCACGTCGGTAGTATTTTGCATTGCTGTGTATGCTATTAACACCTTGATATATATGAATAGTGTGGTCACAGTATAGCTGCTTGGGGAACTATAACCTTGAACTGTGTAAAATTTATTCATGTGATTTCCATGGAGAGGGTTGTTGTGTTTTGTTTTTTTTTCTGAGGGAAGATGGCTAATTAGAGTAGAGGGGTTGAAAAATGAAAGACTCAAACGTATGGTTGTCTCATCCAGTGATGCAGTTGGCTTACCTGCTCTTTACGTACATGTGTAGTTGAATGGGATACGAAAGGAAGGTATCTCATCAGGGGGATTTTCACATACTTGCATTGCAGCCTCCAAAGTCATTCAGCAAACCCAGCATCTTCTCTGCTACCACTCACATTGCTGATGCAGTGGGGGATGCAGAGACAGCAACATTTTGCAAATTATGATCACAGCATTTGGAGCTCAGCTCACACCTGTATTAAAAGCCAGCATAAATCAAAAGGAAAATACTAACATCAGAAGCTTTATTCTTTTTTTTTAGAGCTCAACTAAAATAACTGTTAATTACCTGAAAGATTAGTGGATCTTTACTAGCTTTTATAATCCGTTTAGTTTTGTCCTGAGGGCTGTCTGATGTTGAACCACACATTATTAATTACCGTGGAGACCTTCAAGCAACCTGTCAAGACATCTTCACGTTTACTCAGGTCCGTATTAGACATGTTCATGGAACATGTATTTCCTCTAGTCCTTTTTAACCCTTTTCCTGCAGTAAAGGAAGGATGGAGGGGGTTTTTTTAGGTGTTATTTATTCTTATTGTCAGGTATTCTAAGGTTCAGATAATCACAGACCATGAAGTGTAAAAATCGTTGAGGAAAATTTGGTATCACTTGGTTTCATAATTTCTGATGATGCAGAACAGAAGCTGTCTTAAAATAATAAATACAAAAAAAATAAAAAAGGAAGAAGAAAGAAAATCCTTTATACTGATAAGGTAAATGAGGTAGCATTAACACTTTATGTTATGCAAAACTGACTGTATGGCTTGAGACACTGTTCTATTAAGATTAGAGTGGTAGGTATCAGGTGGAACAAATTTTGCTCTTTCTCCACTCAGAGGGTCTCTGGTAGACAACCAGAGGTGACAGGGCTGAAAAATGAACCTGAGGTCTGCACAAGTGGAAAATGGAACAAAGAAAGAGTTCCAGCTCTGAAGCCATTACTTCACATTGTAATGTTATCCTCCCATCTCTGATGTGTTTGGCTTTCAAGGTTAGAACAGTCTTACACATTGTGCAACCCCTTCTCCATGTAGGATCATGGTAACATTTAAATGATCAAGCAAGATGATATGAGGGAAAACTTTATGTGCTTCGTGGCATCCCGTGCCCCCTTTCAATAACTTTCAAGTGTTTGAACATTCTACTGGAATGGTGTGAAAAGTAGCCTGTGTGCCCAGTGTGTGCCTTGGGAGTGCAGGTGCACTCCCATCTGTAATCAGTAAACACTGTTCTTTTAGAAGATTTGAGATGGCATAAAATACCAGCAGTTTTACCTTCTCGGAAAATGTAAGATAAAATGCTGGGTTGTTGGTTTTTTCTTTTGTTTTGTTTCGCCTGAGGAACTGAGAGCTGGCACAGATGATCTTCTGCTGATTTTCTAATGTGATTTTTTGTACGTAATGTCAGGGCTTTTGGTCAAGAGTAAAGGCAAGGGGCTGCAGAAGTAACCTCCCAAATTGCCAAATGAGTTTTGACAGGGGTTATCTAGCAAGTCTGCAGTGTCTACAGAAGGATTTCCAGGGTGGTGGCATGGGTAGATATCAGATTGAGCAAATTAGCTGACAAAATGGATTTTGAAGGTTGCTGTGTAACCCTGAGAGGTCTTTGCCATGGACAAAGGAAGTGACAAATAGCTTTCCTTGAAATGGGTGCCAACCACAAGCTGTAAATCAGCCGGCAGGGAGGTAAAGCAACTAGAGGGGTTTATTTCTCTCCTGAGAGAATGAGTGTCACCTCAAGAAAGCCCATGTTTGATCATCCACAGGCCACTTGGACTCTACTGCTGGCACATGAAGCAGTTGTCAAGCTCTGCCTGGTTTGGGTTTTTTTTATTCAGTTCTGAACAATTACACTTGCTGTTGGCAAAGCCTGTCCTAGTGTGCACTCTGTCCATCAGCTCTTGTTATTCCACCAAAAGTCTGATTTTCACCTCTTCTTTTATGTTTTCTCCTTAGGTCAAAATAACTGCAACTGCCTTTTAGTCTTTGGCTGTCAGACTAAGCTGAGCTTTTCTGTGCCTTCTGTAGCACTGTGGGCTCTTCCCCTAAACAGGTGGTGGTTTTTCTTAATGAAACAAGATGGAGTTATCTAAAAGTCCATTTTTACATGTTAGAACAGTGTAAACATTTGTATTATCAGTAAATAAATCCAAAATTCTCCTTACTGTTGGCAGGTGGTTTAAGAATGAAGGAATGTCTTGCATGTAATTACATTACCAGAGGCCTGGTTAGTTTGGCTCAGCCAATCAACTATGTAATACTTCTTAGGAGCAGTTACTTAACTGCCTACATGTTTTTACCTTTTATCATTTTCATGTCCATCTAAAACTGTGGGAGTAAAATCACACTTGATTATTGACATCTTAAAGTGTTTAGATACATGGAAATAGAAGATAAGGTAACTGTTGTTTCTATCCAGGAGAATATTTGTAGAGATGAGTTGTTCACTGGAAATGGCAAAAAGAGACCCCATAATGTGGTATAACCATTGATTTTGCCTTTGCTAGGATGTCAGGAACTTTTCCAATTATAATGAAACTCTGAGTGAATGGAAACATTGTTATTGCAGCTGCAAAACTAATCCATTCTGTGTCGTGCATCAAGCCTGGGTGAATTGCACTGCTGAGATATGAGTTGCTGCTTACAAAAGAGGAATACCTGTGCTGCTCGAGCCATGTCTGTGTGCCTGTGCTGATGGTTATCCATCTGAACTCAGCTCTTTAAAAAAATTATGGCTTTATTGCTGAAGCACACCACGCTTCTGTGAAGAAACCTGTAATGTTTCCACAGCACTGTGCTTTTAACTGTAGGTGTTACAGTTATGATGTCGACCTAAAGCTGCAGGTTGCCTGTGTAGACCTGTGGGAAGCAGAGCTGATTGGCAGCAGTCTTCTTTCACATTACGGTTAGAAAGCAACATTTCATGTCACTTACTGAAAAAAAAAACAAAAAACTGTAAAGGACACAAAACTGTTCTCCTGGCAGTTCCAGAGAACACATTACTGTAGAGGGTAAGTAGTTTCCTCCATGGCTCATTTGCTAGCAGAGAGATGCTCAGCTGAACAAGGGCCAGAATTGGAAGTGGTAATCATTAAAAAAGCAAAGCCACCGGCTGTGCTCTCCAAAAAAAATCATGGCAGAACATACTTCCCAATCCTGAGAGGTGCTAAGCCCTCTGCACAGGGGGAGGTGGACATACTTGGTGCTGTGGGGTGAGAGTGCTCAGCACCTTCCAGAATCTCCTGTGCTCAGCTGCAGAATTTGTGCGTCTGGGCATGGGAACTGCCATCTGCAAATTTCTCCCCTATCTGCAGAGCTATTCAGACACAACATTAAAGTGTGATTTGAATGTTCAGAGCAGTTGATAGTAGTTGAATACTTTTTAAAATGGGTCAAAACTTGCCTGGGTGTTTTTAAGAGACATTCCTTTGTGTTCCAGCAGTTGAGAAAATACCCTCCAAATTAATAATTTTGGTTAATTTGGAGATCCCCTCTAGTTAATCAGTTCCATGTGGAATAAAAGTTTTTCATACGTCAATTTCCATTGCTTTTTTTTTCTTTTTTTTTTTTCTTTCCTTTTTTTTTTTTTTTTTTTTTTAGGTGAACATGTTTGTGGAAGGATTCCATGATGCTATTCTTCTTTATGCTCTAGCTTTACAGGAAGTCCTGAAGTTTGGTTTCAGTAAGAGAGATGGGGAAAAAATTGTTCAGCAAACACGGAACAGAACATATGAAGGTAAGAGTTAATATGAAATTCCAACTTTCAAGTAAAAAAAAGTCAGGTCTTTGTGTGTACAGAGCAAGGACCCATGCCTATTCCACTGCTAAATGTGAGAATAACGTTTTAAAACCATATACATGTTTCAAGTCTGTCTCACATATCTCACCAGTTGTTGTTGGGGTTTTTTGGGGGGTTTTTTTTGGTTGGTTGTTTTTTTTCTGTTGTTGTTGGTTTTGTGGTTTGTTTTTTTTGTTGTTGTCACTGTTGTTTTTTGCGCCAACCCCTGAGGTCTTATTCAGCTCAAAAAACTCCTAACAATTTAATGACCCTCACTGATGTTGTAAAGAAATAGCAATAATTTTCTCAGGCTCCTTCTTTGTTTTTGAAAAGATTACAGCTGCTCACTTTACTCATATGTATCTACTAGCTCTGAGATTGCATCATTTTTTCCACTTGACTTTATCTTAAAAGCCTGGGAATGGATAGAAGCAAGCAGGTGCCAGGGTTCTTTTTTGTTTGTTTCTTGACAGGGCTCCTTTGGGCCCTGGAAGGATTTCCCCTCAGCCTCCTTTCAGGAGCTGTGCATGTCAGAGGCAGCAACTGAACAGGACTGTGAGTCCTGTGAGTTTCTATGCTAATCCTTCAATTCCACAGTGAAACTGGCATTTGTGTGTCACCCTGCTGATGCAAAGGGATGCGGGTGCTTCTGCCAGTTAGGGATTGTAGTAAAGAAACCAAGGGTTATTTGATTAATCAGTCATCTCTTAGGATATTTCCATCCATCTCTTAAAATACTTCAATCCTTTAGTGTGGAATTGGCAAGATCTTCTATGGAGGTGCATAAGAGAGGGAAACATTTCCCCTAGATAAGCACTGATTGTGTAAGAAAAACCTCCGTGTCTAGGTTGTTAAGAGCACACTGGGCTTAGCAGAGGAAGGCCAGAAGGATAGCACCTCCAAACCTCTTTTCTGTTTTCAAATTGTGGCCTGAACACAAGGCAAAAGGGTCCTCAGGGGATGTTAAGGCAACAGAGGGATTTCTTTACATTGTGCCTGTTGCAGTCATCCTAAAAGCTTTGCACCAGCTGAACACTGTTTGATGTCCCACTACCTCCCTTCACATCCATGGCTTCCTAGAACACACTATTACAACAGAGGGGAATCTGGTGTCTAAGGATTTGCCTGTGCAGTTATACTGTATATGAACAGATGCCCCAGCACAGCCTGTGTTTCCTCTACTACTCCTTCACTGCTCCAGGAAGCCACGAGCTGGTGTGCCCATGGTAGTCTCTTGCACTACCATGTGCTCCATGTTGATTACACAGTTGATTCTCACGCCTTTCTTGTACCACTCAGGAGTTAAAAATATGTCCTCTTTCCC